CTATATATATATATATATATATATATGAGAAAGATTTTTATTTTTGTAGAGGAATTTTGTTCCCAGCCATCTTTCTGAGCTGTCTTTAGCCTTGATGATTGTCAGTTGGTTCTCCGGAGTTTTCCAGGAGGATTATCACACCTCCTGCCATTCTCACCTAAACCAAATCTTTCAATCTTTCAGCCTCACCATTCACTGGAACCATGCCTGTCATAACTGCCAATGGCTCAATATTACATATCCCACGTCGAATTCTTAGTCTTCATCTTACTGAGTGTCTCAAGTGGGACTGAGGCTATTGCTCACTCCCTTCTTTCCGGTCATGTTCTCAGTTCAGCCTCAAGATCCTGTGCTCTCCCACTTCACCCACTCCTTCAGTAGCTGCTTCCTACTGCAGGGCTGGCTGGGCCCGCCTCTCCTCCCAGGGCTCTGGGGTGGGGGGCTAATGCTCAGTCTCAAACTCTTCACCCTCAACACTCACTCTCAGGGTGATCTCACCCAGTTCCTCTGGAATGCATGGGCACAGGCCTGTGTGTTGTTCATCACTACCCTGACCCTGCCTGAAACAGTGCCTGGCACAGCATAGGCACATAACAGAGTAGGGTAAATGCAGAAATGAGTGAATAAGTTTTTCTGATTGCTTTAAATGCTTCATACTTAAGTTTCTTTTTTTTGTTTGTTTTTTCTAAGTTCTCATGTGAAGATATTTTTCCATTGCTTTTCAGAGAGAGTGGAACAGAGAGAGAGAGAGAAAGATGGATGTGGAAGAGACACATCGATTGGTTGCCTCCCGGGGTAGCCTTGACCAGGGCCACAGGTTGAGCCTGCAACCAAGGTACATTCCCTTGACTGGAATCAGACCCGGGAACCTTCAGTCCATAGGCCGATGTTCTAGCCACTGAGCCAAGCGTGCCAGGACCATACTTAAGTTGTTAAAGGAAATGCCACCTAACTGAATTTGGCTGCAGCATGGGCACATGAAAGGAAGTCATAAGAGCTGAGGCTGAAAATACTGGTAGTCCCAGATCATCTGAAAATAATCTAGCTAACAAATGTCATGAGTAGAGAGAGAGGTGACAGGTAGTGCCTGGGGTGTGCCAAATTTCTTGTCTTTTATAAGGCAACACAATGTACACACTTGTTGATATTGATAAATCAAAACTAGAAATGTAGTTTCATTATGCAAAGCCATAAAATAACTTGTAAAAGAGTTTAAAATGGGAACTGCAAACATCAGTTGCTAAGGGGGATTGAGATTAGGAGACACTTTACATTTCATTTTATACACTCTGGTGTCCTCTGAAATAAACTAATGTGCATGCATTATTTCTGGGAGGAAATGGAAACAGATCAGATGAGCCAGGCCATGCAGGGCCCTGAATGCAAAGCAAACTCTCCTTTAGCTATGGAAGCGCACATTGCCTGGTGGGTGGGCCTCCTGAACAGGCTCACAGTGGGCAGCCACTGGCTCCACTTCAGCCACTACTCACAGGGAGGGGGTAGGAGCGACCACATGGGATAAGATGGAGAAAAAAAGAGAAAAGACCTTGGAGTCAGGGCAAATGAGAAACATCTCGTCCTTGTCTCACATCTCCAGAATCTCATTTGACAGTGCCCCTTGTGCAGGAAATCACAGGGGCTGCCCAGCATCTTGATAAGCCTCTCTTGGTCATCAGATTCCACCCCTGCTCCTGCAGACACCTCCGATCCAGGGGTAGAAAGGCATTCTCTGGTATTCGGAACTCCCTGGAAAGCTCTTCTGTCTCCACTCACCACCTTCAACTACAAGATGGTGCTCAGGTAAGAGTTGGCTCAGAGCTACATTCTTTCAAAGGCAGTTTTGTTTTTTGTTTTGTCCCTCGTAGTCCACATGCTCATGACTGCATTTTGGGGTGGGGCATGCAAGGAGCCATGAGCACCCATCAAGGAGAGTCCAGACCCATGAAGGTCCCTCAGGGAAGCTTTGGGTGCTGGTAGCTGAGGCTGTGGGAGATCCACACTGGGCCAACCCGGTCCTTTCTGCTTCACAGACATTGTTTCCAAACCTGAATTGCTGTTAATAACCTCACGTTTCACAGATTAGCTTGCTCTTCAACGGGTTTCTTTGTCTCTCTGTTTGTATGTTATATTCTTGTAACAGCAAAAAACACAAGGCATAAACTAATGGGTAATTAAGGAGAGTTTAATAAAGGGACTGTGTACAAAGGGGTTTGCAGGACTGAGGGAAATAGATAAAGGATGCAGAGGTCCCCAAAGATAAGTCATAACAGGGAGCTATTAACATTTGCATCCTGACCGGTAGAGGCAAAGATAGGTTGCCAGAACACAGGGAAGACTGGCTGTCGCTGCGGTCATCACTCTGATCTTAAGAAAAGCCACCAGATGGACTATGTCCTTAGGTACAGTAACACCACCATGGTCAACTCACAGCATGATAGCACAGACCAAGGGGGTTAAAAATCTCAATCACTCTCCTCCTGCCCTCCAATCACATGTCAGGGTCTCCCTTTCCTGAGAGCAACCAGGAGCCAGAGAGAAAGGGGGCTCAGGGGTGAGGCAGAGACATGACCTCCCAGGACACAGAGGAGGGTAGAGCAGCTGGAAATGAGATTTGATGGCAAGTGAGGAAAATCCTCTTCTTCTCATCACCTCCTTTTGGGTGGATTTCCTGGAATTTTTTCTCTCTGAATCTGATTAGATCAACTTCTTATTACATCTCCTGACACAGACCTGTGGGTCCAGATCCAGGCTCTTCCACTTGTGCCCGTGAGACCTGGAACATGTTCAACCTACTTGTGCTTCTCTTTTCTCATATACAAGGTGGGAATAAGAAGAGTACTGGCCCATGGGGCTACTGGGAGGATGAAAATGGGTGATGTTACATAAGCGCTCATCAGCTGCAGCTCTTCACCTATGTGTGAGCTGCTGTTTCTTTCTCGCCTAAATTCTGCAAGAACCTCTGTCTTTTCATCCAAAGCCCACTTTTAAGAAGAAATAAACACTTCACCACAGCACCATGAGAATTCTCTTACACAAAGGCTTTAATCTACAAACCAGTCTGTCCTCATAATCTCATAGAGGGGCCATGGGTGGGTTTTATATTACACACACCATAGGAAAATCACACAATAATCCCCCTTCTCTATTTCTGTCACAACTACCCGTATTCAAACCCATTGCCATTTCTTTCTCTCCTCCTCAAACTTCCTTCTGCTCCTCTAAAATGCACAGAAATTATGTTGAGCCCTGAATCCTCTCCCAAAAGTATGTGCTGACATCTTCTAGTCCCTCACCAAAGCCATGTACTGGCCCTTCCTGGCTGGAGACAGCACAGTGGCCATGTTCATTCTTCGTGCAGGCATAAAAATTTCTTTCAGACACACAACAGCTTTTCACAGAAGGAATCATTAGAAATGAAATTTTCTTCTTTTCTTTACATGTGTGGTTTGAGGGGACTCATTTCTTTTTTTTTTAATTTTATATTACATTAAATCCAGATTTTCCATTTCCCTTGTGCTCCTCACTCATTCATTCATTCATTCATTCATTGGTGAATTAAAATTTTCTTGACTACCCCACCACGTTCCCACACAGAGTTAGGCCCTGGGGACAGGACAATGGGGAAGAGGAAAGCACTGTCTATCCTCATAGCCCTGGCACACTGGGCCATTTCTAGTGCAAGGGCCTTGGCGTCGTCACACTGTCCTAGGAAGGGGTCTCATGCCCTTCCTGACCCCAAGTTATAATCCCCTTTCTCCCTGTTGAGTAGACCACTCTCAGTCACTCACGTTGCCCTGGGGCTTTTGACATCCTGCTCCCGAGCAGAAGCCACTGGCCCAGAGCAGAGGTGTCAGGGGACTCAGAGTCCTGTTGTCATCTACACCACCTGTGAAGACTTCTGTCCCCCTCCCTCCCGGGCCCATGACAAGGCCTATGATGGTGAGTGGAGATGTGCACATAGGGGGTCTGTGTTGCAGTAGAGAGAGGCCAGGCTCTAGCATCAGAGAGAACTGGGTTTGAATTCAGGGTCCAGGACTCCAAGGCTGTGTGGTCTTCAGGAAGAATCTTAATCTCTGGAAGAATCCATTTCCCTTTCCCATACAATTCGACAGTAATTTCCACATCAGGTGGCCATGAGGGTCAGTGATCATACAGCAGGTGCTCAAGTCTTGTTTTGTTTCCAGGTCCACAACTGGAGGGTTTCTGAGCACGGATACAACTGTCACAGCCTGGGAGACACAATTCACACCAACAAATGGAAGTGCCTGGGCCTTTGAAGCACTGGAGATGAAGATCCTAATCCTGGAATGGCTGACACTCATCATTGTCCTGGCCGGGCTGGCGGGAAACGCGGTGGTGCTCTGGCTGCTGGGCGTCCGCATAGGGAGGACCACCTTCTCCGTCTACATGCTCAGCCTGGCCGGGGCCGACTTCCTCTTCCTCTGCTGCCAGATTTTACATTGCCTGTGTTCACTTCCCATCTTCTCTTTTGGCTTCCCTAAAATATGCAGGTTTTTCATCCCGGTGTTATTCTTTTTCTACATCGCAGGCCTGAGCATTCTCAGCGCCATTAGCACAGAGCGCTGCCTGTCTGTCCTGTGGCCCATCTGGTATCGCTGCCGCCGCCCCAGACACACGTCAGCCATCATGTGTGCCCTGCTCTGGGCCCTGTCCCTGCTGCGGAGCATCCTGGAAGGGGATTACTGTGGATTCCTCACTGGGCATCTACATCTTGTTTGGTGTCCAGTGTTGGATTTCATCACTGCCGCCTGGCTGATTTTGTTATTTGTGCTTACCTCTGGGTCCAGCCTGGCCCTGATGACCAGACTGCTGTGTGGCTCCCAGCGGGTACCGCTGACCAGGCTCTGTGTGACCCTCATGCTCACAGTGCTGGTCTTCCTCCTCTGCGGCCTACCCGTGGGCATCCACTGGTTCCTCGTATTCTGGTCACAAATTCGTTCAGATGCCTTCTCTCATATTTCCCAGGTTGCCAATACCCTGTCCTGTATCAACAGCTCTGCCAACCCCGTCATTTACTTCTTCGTTGGCTCCTTTAGGCAGCGATGGCAGAAGCGGCGACAGACCCTGAGGCTGCTTCTCCAGAGGGCTCTGCAGGACACTCCTGAGGGAGAAAGCCTTCCTCAGGAAGCCCTGGAGATGTCGTGAGCAGTCTGGGCCAGTGACACGGGCCTCTGCCCTGGTGGGTCAGAAGTGACTCAGAGACTCAATGCTGCCCTGTCAGGCTTGGAAATTATCTAGTCTTCTCCCAGCCCCAGCCTCAGAATGCTTCAGTGATTCCCCAGTGTCTTCAAATTGGTTGTTTTTACTCTGGCCTTTGTAGTTTCTCTCAGAGAAAGCATTAGTCCGAAAGTTATTGCTCTCCGTCATTCCTGACATTACCAATAAATTTCTCAGGTAATCTTCCTTTGAATTTCTTTATTGAATGTATTGAGTGCTCTTTCTCTACAAGTGGTTCAGGAAAGTCTTCTTGAAATACTTGGAATTTGAACTTATGACTCTACAGTTTACAGAGCAAGTACCCTGTTTCAGTTTGGCGAATCACACCAACCTTTTCAGACAGGTGAGAAAAGATAAACCATAACTGGACAAATGGAAAAGGGAAAAGAGGCAATTCATAGTGCATTGTTAACAAAAGTACAAAGAGTGTTTAAGAAATGGTGATCAGTATGCAAATAAGTTTCATTCCCTGTGACATCTCAAATACGTGGTCATGGTTGCTAGATCCCTCTTAAGAAGGATCATGCCTGGCAGGCGTGGCTCAGCTATTGAGCATCAACCTAGGATCCTGGAGATCTCGGTTGCTTCCCGGTCAGGGCACATGTCCAGGTTGCAGGCTTCAGCCCCAGCAGGGGGCAGCAGGAGGCAGCCAATCAATGACTCTCATCATTGATGTTTCTATCTCTCCCTCCCTCTCCCTTCTTCTCTCTGAAATCAATAAAAACGTATTTTTTTAAAGAAAAGAAGAAGAAAGGTCATAGGCTGAAGTGCAGTGAGCAATGAGCCATGTCTCTTGTGGCCTTGAAGTGACATAAGTTGACATAAGTTTTGCAAAATGAGTTGGAATCAACTCTACAATACTGTCAAGTCTAGATGTAGCCAGCAAGGTCACCCAAACAGGACAAGCAAAAGAGGAAAGTCCTACACTCCTGACACTGACTCTGGGATATGCCCAACCCTACAGGGTCAGAAACCACATCTAGAAACAACAGGCAGGTGACACAGGGACAAGGGGCAGGGTTTGGGGGGCGACAAAAAATACACCCTCTTCAGGGCTACAGTCTTTTTGCTTGCAAAAGGCCACACTGGGAGCAGGAGAAATGGTTCATCTTCAAATTAAACTCAATGTATTTTGCCTCACATAAAAATTCTACTCTAATTGTTTATAACTTTGATATGGTTGATTGCTTAAGAGTTGGTAACCAGTTATCAGAAATCTTGTATTTAAATTCTGCACGCCATCTTCTACCCCTTTAAAATGTGGTATCTACAGTATCTTGATATTTAGATCTAAGCTGTTTTAACATCCTGTTGCACGTGTGAGAGAATGCAAATCAACTCCAGATGCTCTGAAGAGGTCAGTGAGTGAAACTTGGGCCTTTAGTTGTATCTGTAAAATTTTATTTTTTCACTTTTAAAGAGAAATTGGAAACAAATATGACAAAATTTTAATATATACTTAATTTTAATGGCGGTTGTGTGAATGCTTATTACATTATCTTATGGCCTATGTGCCTAGTTTACAATCTTCTCTCCAGCACAAACCTTGTTCTCATTCTTGGCAACTGCACTACCCATATAGGTAGTCAATCCAACAAACATTTCATTCTGAATTAATTATAGACTTACAAGTTGCAAAATTAGTGCAGAGAGTTCCTGTATGCCCATCACCCAGTCCCTGCCAATGGTGACACCTTCCACAAACACCGAACATTTTCAAAACCAAGAAACTGACCTGGGTACAATTATCAATACCACATATCTTACTCAGATCTCACCCGGTTTTGCATGCACACATTTTTGTTGTGTATAATTCTAGGATATTTTATCACATCTATTAATTCATGTAATCACAGCCACATTCCAGATTTGGAACTGTTTCTTCATCACAACAGAACTCCCTTGGGCAACTCTTTCTAGTCATACCCAACCTGTACCCTTTCCAAACCCCTGGCTACCACTGATCTGTTCTCCATCTCTACAATTTTGTCATTTCAAAAATGTTGTATAAATGAAATCATACAGTATTCGGCCTTCTGAATTTGACTTTTATTATTCAGCACATGACCTCAAGATCCATCCACGTTGTTGCATGTATCAGTAGTTTGTTGTTCGCTTTTTAAAGTGTCGTGTCGTATTCTATGGTATGGATGCACTACCTTTTGTTTCAGTGTTCACAAGCGGAAGGATATTTGGCTTGTTTCCAGTTTGATTATTATAAATAAAGCTGCTGTGAACATCCGTATAGAGATTTTCATGTGAACGTAAGTTTACCATTCTCTAAAATAAATGCCAGGAGTAATTACTGGGTTGTATGGTAAGTGTATGTTCAACTTTTTAAGAAAATGCCAAGAGTTCCCCTACATAGCCATTCCATTCTACATCTTCACCAGCTATGTATGAAAGATCCAGTTTTCCTAAAGCCTTGCCAATATTTGAAAGAGTCAATATTTTTTAATTTTAGCCATCCTAAGAAGTGTGCAATGGCATCTCATCATGGTTTTAATTTTGTATTTCCCTAATGGCTAGGGATGCAAAACATTTCATGTATTTTTTTGCCTTCCATATATTTTCTTTGATGAAGTATCTGTTCAAGTATTTTGCCCTGGTTGAATCCAACCCTCCACTAACTCCATGCCTATTACCAGGGAGCTGAGTGCAGCTAGAGAACAAACACAACCATACTCAATGGTTTCACTTTCCATTTATGTCCACACATCATAAGTATCCACTTAGTTCTGCTGAGCAATCATGTACCTTTTCCATAATTACCCTCTCATTCCCCAAAGGAAATACTTCCTCCCATCTCTCTCCTGGAACCACTTCCTCACTCTCAGATGTTGCCCTCCTGAGAATGTCCCCAGCTCCCCACACCAAACCAGCCAACCTGCCTCTGAGCTCATGTCTCTGCCTTTCCTCTCATGCCAGGGGATAGCTCTGCATGCTCCTACCTTAAATCATCCTTTCCACCTGCATGCATGTTCCCACCTCTCTCCTACACTTAAACACTTACACAACTGTTACCTCTCCCACCTGCATCTTGAATGTTCCCTTTTCTATTGGATCATTCCAACACTGTACACACATGCTATGCTATCTCCAGGCTTAAAAACACCACCCACGTCTACATTTGCCTTTGCCCACAGCTTGATTTCTCTCCTTTCCTTCGCAGCAAACCTCCTTAAATGAGTTTTCTATACTATTTTCTATTTCCTCACCTCCCAGGCTCTGGCTCCACCCTCCCTCTCTTCCCTCTCTCTCCTTCTCTTTGTCTCTCCTTCTACTCCTCCCCCCATAACTCCCCCGTCTCTAACTCTATCTCTCTACCTCTCTATCTCTATCTCTGTATCTTTCTTCCTCCTCCCCCTTCCTCCCTTCCTCTTTCTCTCTCATCTTTTTATATCTCTATCTCCCTCTCCTGGTTATACCATCACATTCATTTTCCTTGTTTTAAAATTTTATTTCTTGAAAATGCAATACATTCACAGGTTTAAAAATATTTTTGATGCACACATTGAAAGTTGTCATTCCCTTTCTAGGCCTGTAGGCATCTCTGCCTTCTCCTCAGAGATGACTATCATATTACAGTTATTTGTTTTCAAAATTCTTTCTAGGGTTATTTAATGAGAAAACAAGCATATGTAAATATGCTGAATGCAAAGGAATATATAATACGTATGAATGTGTCTTTATTCGGTCTCATTCCAATACACATTGTCCTACATCTGTCTTCTTTTTAAACTTAATATAGCTTGGGGGTCCTTCCACATCAGGTTGGTTGCTCTTTGTATATAGCTACACAGTATTCTGTTATATGGACGGACCATCATTTATACAGCATCGATGGCCATTTTGGCTGTTACCAATATTTTTTACTGCAAATTATCCTACATGTATTAACTTTGTACGTATGTCTCTTGCACATGTACAGATATATCTTTAAGACAAACTCCTAGGTGAAGGATTACAGGGGAAAAAGTATGATGCTTTATATGTGTTTATACATGTTGCAAATAGCCCTCACTCCCACCAGAAATGTGTGAGAGTGCGTTTTCCCCCACCATCTCCCACAGCGGACGCTGCCAAATTTGGGGGTCTTTTATATTTCAGTGAGTAAAATATAACCCTGGATAATTTTAACTTTTATCTCTGTTATTATTACTTTGGTTTCTTATTTTTCCATATGTTTAAGAGGCATTTTTATTTTGAGAAATTGTGAATTCATGACCTATCATCATTTTCCTTTTGGCTCATTGGATTTTGAATTATCACTTACAGCAAGTTGATACAGAGATCCTAATCCTGAAATTGCTGACACTCACCACTGCCCTGGCTGGGCTGGCGGGAACGCGGTGGTGCTCTGGCTCCCGGGCTCCGCCTGCTCCGTCTCCATCCTCAACCTGGCGGCGGCCGGCTTCCTCCTCCTCTGCTGCCAGATCGTGTATTCCCTGCACACACTCATCAGTAGCTTCCATTCCGTGTGCATTTCCATCCCCTACATTTTCCTCACTGCGTCCGTCTTGGCCTACATCTCAGGCCTGAGCTTTCTCAGCACCCTGAGCACCCAGCACTGCCTGTCTGTCCTGTGGCCCATCTGGTATCGCTGCCGCCGCCCCAGATAACCGTCATGTGTGCCCTGCTCTGGGCCCTGTCCCTGCTGCTGAGCATCCCGAAAGGGAACTACTGTGGCTTCCTGGTGAGGAAACGTGACCAAACTTGGTGTCGGGCGTTTGATCTCATCACTGTCTCGTGGCTGATTTTGTTATTTGTGCGTCTCTGTGGCTCCAGCCTGGCCCTGCTGATCAGACTGCTGTGTGGTCCCCAGCGGGTGCCGCTGACCAGGCTCTGCGTGGTCATCCTGCTCCCAGTCCTGGTTTTTCTCCTCTCCAGCCTGCTCTTTGGCTTCAAGTGGTTTGTGTGTTACTGGGTTCAGAAACTTTGCAGTAAAACGTCTTCACATTTTCTTAGAAGGATGGGGATTATCCTGTCTAGTCCTAACAGCAGTGCCAATCCCATCATTTATTTTTTTGTTGGCTCCTTTAGGCAACAGCATCAGCTGCGGCAGATCTTCAAGTTGGTTCTCCAGAGGACTCTGGAGGACATCACTGAGGCGAAGAAAAGTAGAGGCAGCCATCCTCAGGAACCCATGGAGATTTCAGGAAGCAGGTTCACACAGTGATGCTCTATTAAGCAGGGTTCAGCCAAAGAAGTAGTACTTATAAAAGTTTACATATTAATAGTGTAAAATAGAGAGAGTAAGGAGATGGTATATATATACACACACATATATATGGTTGAACTGTCTTTGTAAGGCTGTTGTCTGTCTGTCTGATTCTAGAGCTTGAAGTCTATGGGGCAAACTAGAACCCAGGAGCCTGAGCTAAAGCCCATGATAGCCGACCAGAATTCACATCAGTCTGTCTCAGTACCTGCATTTTGATGACGTGAGAGCTCTGCAGGAGAAGTTTGCTCCCTTCATCATGGAGCTAAACACACACCTGGTCCAGAGCCGGAGACACTGAAGGAGGACCCA